CAAATGGGGATATGCCACATGAGTTATATCATGCATGGGATGAGCAGGAGATAAGGATGGCATACCATGAATTATTGGAATTGTTTCCCAGAGTCATTATCATGCATGCACGTGGTTAAGTATTTGAAATTTTGAGCCTGGCTAGCACCGATTCAGGTTGTGATAATTATTAGCAAGGGGATTGCCTTATCAAGAGTTAAAATGTGGCAGTGGTATTGCGTATTAGCACTGGGAGGAGGTGGTAGAGTTGCAATTGGAGTCCACGAAATTATCAACCGCGTACTCGTCCCTATAAATATAGGACATCGTGCAACATTTCAAGGCCTCTCCAATTGAACACATAAAATGCCCTTCGCAAACTCTCGCTCTACACGAAACCTCTTAACAACCTTGAGATTTTTTTATTTTCTTTTTCCGCCGACATATCTTTAGTTTGGATAAATAGCACTGGAGTCGTAGAATCAGCCGATCAAGGAGCACCTTCAGTTTGGATAAACAACACTACTTCTTGGTCGACTGATTACCTATCCAAGTCTCGGTCGACATGAATTTTCAAGTCCTTGTTGGTAGAGGTCATCTCATTAGCCTTTTCGGCGAAGTGAGGTGTTACAAGTTACTACATTCGGCACATTGAAAGCCGAATTTGATATTGAACTTTGCAGAACTAGCAGCAAGATCAAGAAGTCAGCAGCGCGCCCAATGTGACATCAACACATTTTACTCCTCGGACGAGCTCAGCCAACGAGTTGGCATGCCCTGCACACAAGCAAAAGACGTAGTTAGCTTATTGATTACTCGGCCTGCGCACCACGTAGGCTTGGTAGTTTTTAGGGTTAACACATACATAACAAAAGTTATTTTCTAGGGTTCCAAATTTCAAATTTTGTTTTTGGAATCAAATTTGCTGTCAACTTTTGCAGAAGTAACCACTTTGAACTCACTCCAATCAAGGAACCACCAAATTTTTCTCGTGTAAGCAACTGCTAACCCTCAAACCAAAGATGGTTGAATGTTGAACTACACTGAGCCCAAAGACAAGAACCATACCAATGGAAACGAAGTTTTCGAACGCTACCAAAGTTTTGAATGAGCATGATCTTAGAGTGAGAAGGAGATTTTTGGGAGGAGAAGAAAATTTTTTGGTTTCAACTGTTGCTTCTGGGTTTGAACTGTTGTAGTCATGGGAGAGAGGGGGAGAGTCTAATTCCCTATTTTTTGAATTTTCACGGGTACCGTTTTCATTAACTTATTTGTCTTTCTCAATCTGGTCTCACACCAAGTCTTTTCTGATAGATTCATTTTTAGCCGTTCAAATTTAATCATACTGTCCACACGCACCGTTCGCAAAGCTCTGTCCGTACCTTAGAAATGGAGAAACTAGGTATCACGTTGCCATAAATAGGCCAATACTAATTTAGGCCCAAAAAGGTTTTGTAAACACTGCGTTCTTTTCTTCGTTCTTTTTTTAGTTTACACAAGCAATATTTGAGAGGGGAGAATTGAACTGGAACTCGGATAAAAGGAGGAACTTTTCTAATCAACTTAGTTACAAATTCATTGCACGTTTTTCATTGTAGACCATTTGTCTCTTTTTCCAACAAAAAAATTAAACTCTGGTAAGGATTTTTATCTCTATAATGATGTGAAAAATGATTGACCCCAATTGCATGGAAATAGAATTAAACACCAATTAACAATGGGTGCTTAATTTCTAAAAAAAGGGAACAAATTCTTGTTTATTAGTTATAACTTACTTTTACATTCCAGCAAATGGTTATGCTTTCCTCCCTCCTAAGACAAACATCAAAGCAAACAACTCAAGCAATTGTAAGAACACATGGAAGGTTGTAACCGAAAGTCAAAACTGATACGACTACCATCCATCTCTCCCGTATATATCATTGTCTTTCATGGAGTTTCTCAGCAAGCTTCTGACTACCACCTCCTTCTCTGAAGGAGGACCAACAAGTTTCTTGCTCGAATCAAAATAAAGAAGCATCGTATACACAATGGCGGTACCTCTCAGTCGAGCCCTCTTGATTGCTCATGTTTCAGTTGTGATTGCAGCCACGCTAGTCCATGCCAAAGGCCATGGACATCATGCACATGGTGGGCATCATCATCGTCATCAGAATCAATCATTGCAGGTTGGCCCCGTGACATATGATGGAAGGTCACTGATTATCAATGGGAAACGCGAGCTTCTGTTTTCGGGTTCAATCCACTACCCGCGAAGCACTGCAGAAATGTGGCCTGATATTCTCGAGCAGGCCAAACGCGGAGGCTTGAATGTGATTCAGACTTATGTGTTTTGGAACATTTATGAGCCTATGCAAGGGCAGTTCAACTTTGAAGGAAACTATGATGTGGTGAAGTTCATCAAGCTTGTGCAGGAACACGGAATGTATGCTACCATTAGGCTTGGGCCGTTCATCCAATCTGAATGGAATCACGGAGGACTTCCTTATTGGCTAAGGGAGGTCCCCGGAATCATATTCCGCTCTGATAACACAGCATACAAGTACCACATGAAGAATTATGTGGATATGATTGTGAACAGGTTGAGAGAGGCGAAGCTCTTCTCTCCACAAGGAGGCCCGATCATTTTGGCGCAGATTGAAAATGAGTACAACATGGTCCAGCTTGCATATAGAGAATTGGGAAACAGTTACGTGAGGTGGGCAGCAGAGATCGCGGTGAATCAAAACATTGGAGTGCCATGGATCATGTGCAAGCAGAAGGACGCTCCTGATCCAGTGATTAATACTTGCAACGGAAGGCATTGCGGAGATACTTTCACAGGCCCTAATAAACCCAACAAGCCATCTTTATGGACTGAGAATTGGACTGCTCAATACAGAGTATTTGGCGACCCTCTTTCTCAAAGAGCAGCAGAGGACATTGCATTTTCCGTTGCACACTATTTCTAACCAACTACGATATGTACCATGGTGGCACAAATTTTGGAAGAACAAGTTCTATTTTCACAACCACCCGTTACTATGACGAAGCTCCTCTCGATGAATATGGTTTGCCAAGGGATCCCAAGTGGAGTCACCTCAAGGACTTGCACAAGGCTTTGAAGCTTTCCAGGAAGGCTTTGCTCTGGGGAGTTTCGGGAGTCCAAAAGATTAGGGTAGACACTGAGGTTCATTTCTATGAGATGCCGGCGACAAACACCTGTCCTGCTTTCGTGACAAACAACAATTTCAAAACTGAAGCAACTGTCAATTGGAGGGGTATGGATTATTACATGCCACCACGTTCCATTAGCATCCTCCCAGATTGCAAGACTGTGGTTTTCAACACTCAGAGAATTGTTGCACAACATAATTCAAGGAACTTTGTTCGATCAAATGTTGCAAACAATCTCAAATGGACCAAGTATGTAGAACCAATTCTTAGCGCCCTTCAGGTTCCAGTCAATAACCCGACTCCGCTGGAGCTGTACAGCTTGTTAAAAGATACCACAGACTACGCGTGGTACACCACTAAGCTTGCACTTAGTCCACAAGACTTGCCCATGAAGGAAAGCATTCGACCAGTTCTCCGAATCGCAAGTCTTGGTCATGCAATGCATGCATTTGTCAACGGTGAATATATTGGTTTTGCGCACGGGAGCCACGAGGAGAAGAGCTTTGTTTTCGAGAAACTAGTTCCCTTGAAGGTTGGGGTCAACCAGATTTCTCTGCTTGCGATGACAATAGGACTCCCGGATAGCGGAGCCTACATGGAGCACAGGTATGCAGGGCCTAATCTCGTAACAGTCCTAGGGTTGAACACCGGAACACTGGACCTCACGCGAAACGGATGGGGGCATCAGGTGGGTCTGAATGGAGAAAAGCTTCAAGTGTTCACTGAAGAGGGATCGAAACAAGTTCAATGGCATAAAACAAAGGGAGTAGCAGAGGGTCTCACATGGTACAATACTTATTTTGATGCTCCAGAAGGCAATGACCCTGTTACTATTAGAATGGTTGGAATGGGAAAAGGAATGATTTGGGTGAATGGTAAAAGCATCGGGCGTCACTGGACGTCCTTCCTGTCTCCTCTCGGAGAACCAACTCAAGCTGAGTACCACATCCCAAGGTCCTTCATTAATCCTAATCAAAATCTCCTTGTTGTGTTGGAGGAGCAGCCAGCCAAGCCCAAACCCATTGAGATCCTTACCGTCAACTGAGATACTATCTGTAGCGTCATTACTGAATACCATCCACCGAATGTGAATTCATGGGCAAGGAAGGACAGCATTTTCCAACCTGTATTGGATGTTATCAAAACATCCACAGACATCAAGTGTCCAAAGCACAAGAAGGTTGTTGCTGTTGAGTTTGCAAGCTTCAGCGATCCAGCTGGCGTCTGTGGCAGCTTTGTCTTGGGAAAATGCAACTCCCCTGTATCCAAGGAGATTGTTGAACAACATTGCATGGGAAAAACTAGCTGCTCTGTCCCGATTGATCACAAACTTTTCTCCAGCAAAAATGATGGTTGTCCTGACATCAAGAAGACACTTGCTATCCAAGTCAAGTGTGCTATACAACTATCTAAGGTGTTATAAGAGCGAATTTATGTTTTCTGCCGTTGTGATTTCAATTGAAAATACTACTGCAAGCTCAAGCTTTATATTTCTTAGTAGTTTTGAGATTTTCATTACCTCCTCTTTTTAGGTCCGTAGGCCAAAATACGTAGAAAATAGAAACCGCTTAGTTATCTAATTACGATTAAACTAAAGAGCCTTTCGGGATTGAATTAGCAGATTCATCTAATTAAGTAAAATATAGACATAACGCACATCAGAAACATATAATACACAAAAAAAAATATAATGAGAGAGAGTGGGTGTGTGCGAGTGGCAAGTTTTCTCAGTCACACCCCTAATCACAAACTCGTGGACGATTTCAGTGTTCTTGTGCTTTAGTTACAAATTGCATAGTCCAAAATGGCAAAAACAAAGATTTGTCTTGGGGGGCTCTGGGAAATTTAAATGAATTCAGAAGAAGCTAGCAGAGTCCATTAAACAGGGGCACGATCCAAAGTGCCGGTGAAACATTTGGAGAGTAATGCTGTGTATTGGTTTCATCCTCTAAATTGAAAACACCTATATTACTTGGCCTGATATAACTGTCAGATAATCTCCGTTGTCCAGATTTTGTCCCACCATCCATGTAATATATGGAATTGGGAAGGCACGAAGGAAAGTTCAAAGCCAAAACAGAAATAGAATAATTGTTACCCAGGAACAAAACCTCATCTCCAATAGTTTTTAGCTTAACATGTTGTACAACGGACCCATCCCTCTCGTAGAACACCAACTTGTAAACCACGAATACCTCAGTCCAACACTCCTCGCCGTAGGAACCTGCATTAACATTTTTTTAAAATCTCCCAACATGTAGTAGCTCTCCCTTGGTTGATTCCACGAGATACGCTTTCTCAGCATAAACCGGGAAGGGATTAAGCATCTTTGCTTCTATCGACTTGCTATTGACATCAAAGGACAGAATGTTTCCCCATTTGCCAGCTGCATAGACTTGGCCCTTGTGAAGTATAGCATCAGTAAGCAAGCATACCCTCAACCGCTTGCTGTAAATCCAATATTTCTGCCCACCCCTAGTGAAAGCCAACTCGGAAACATGTCTGTAAATTGCTACAACCACACAACTGCCCCGATGCAAAGTGGGATCCTCAGACAAGATAACCTTAGGGAGGCAAACCTCGCAGTACTTACGCAGGACATTGAAATCCAATCGAGGGAGGCGAATGGGGGCGGCTGCTTTTGTCATTAGCTCAAATCTCAGACATCAGGAGTCAAAGACGTGTTTATTGAGAAGAAAGTCCGACGCCATTGTCATTAGCTCCAAGCCTCGAAGGTCGAATCTTAACCAAACTATCGACAATGAGGGAGTGAGATTCGGTGAAATGTTAGATTCCTGTGGAAAATGGATGGCGATGAAGATCAAAGATTTTGAGTTTCTTCCTTGTTGTTTGGCCGTTGCCCGTTGGGTGGGTTTCAAAGTCCAAGTTTATTGATTTGCTCCTTCTTCCGATGTTTCCAGCCCCAAGGAAAACAAAATATATATATATATATATATATATATATATATATATATATATATCTAATTATTTAACGCCAAGCAAAAAATTAAAATAAATGCATAATATATGAGGAATTGCTATTTATATTAAGATTTTTCATTCATGAACAATGCTTCTTCTACTCGAGGATGATTAAAATTTCCTCCTCAATCAAACCATTCGTGAATGGTGGCCAATTCACAAAACTTTGCATTTCTAATTGAAACCATTTCAATTGTACATTATTTTTTTAAAGATCATATCATATTTATTGAATTCTTTTTCAAAATTAATTTTTAATACGAATATTTTTTATCATAAGCATTATTCTTTATTTATACTAAAATACCACCAAAACCAACCAAATCAAATTAATTAGTGCAATTTAGAGCTGATGTTTATAACGTAACACTAAAACTATATGAACGGTTCAAAAAGGCACTAGTTCTCACTTATAGATCCGGTCGATATGTAATTTTATTCAATCAAAACATCTGTTAATTTTATTCAATCATAACCACTGTGTGTGTGTTATGTTTAATAATTGACACTATTTTTGTCCTTAATTCATATATTTTAGGATTTATGAAACATTTGAGACGGGAAAAAACACAAAGCCCAAAGTAGGGCAAATTTGTGATTTTCTTTAGGAGAAATTAAGTTCTCATCCCTAATCTCTATTAATTAATGAAATTTTCTTTATTAACTAAAAGAGAGTGAAAATATAACTTAGTCTTCTATAACACAAAAAAATTGATGGGCAATAATGTAATTTCATAGGTCTAAATTTTACTTTTTTTTTTAATAAAACCTCATCTACTGGTGATGTTAAAATATCTCTAATATTTAAAATTAAAAATAATAATAATAAATAAATAAAAACCAAAAACCAAAAACAAAAACCTTCCACTCCCCCATGTGCTCTCTCTCTCTCTCGCTCTCCCCTTCTCATTTTCTAAAAAAATGTGTTCATACACACAAAATGTATAGGCAAATGCTAGTTGTTATATAGTATTGATTTCAACCTTATTGGTTTTAAGTTTTTAAACAAAGTCCTTTGACTTTGTCCACATGTAATTTTTTAATTGATTTTTCTTTTCAAAATTGTATTATTCATTTTCACATATCATTTTGTTGGATTGTGTGTAACATCCCGTCCCGAAACTAACGAAACGTACGTTTGAATTTACGATTTTACCCCCCTAGTTCGTTACTTTACGTGTAGTTTTGTGTTGTGTGGTGTTGTAGGACCACACACACACTCATACACTCTCTTTCCCTCCCGGGATTCCCTCACCCTTTGTCTATTCTCTCTCTCTCTCTCTCTCTCTCTCTCTCTCTCTCTCTCTCTCTCTCTCCCCCCGAGTTCTTCTTCTTCTTCCTTCAACTCACGGACCAACATCAAACCCATCCAAAACTTCACCCATCGAGGAAACTAAGGACACCATCGAACTCGTGAAGCTCGTACGAGTGCAACCATACCAATTTCAGGTAAGAATTCTAACGTTTTCACGTCGTTTCGACGAGGTCCGTTTTAGTTACTATTCATGCAAACCTTAAACTAGTGTGTTTTTGGAATTTCTAAGCTTGTAGATGTCTTAGTGAGGTCCCAAGGAGCCTCGGAGTGTTTCGTTGGACGAGTTTGGACGTCGGGGAAAGCTTGGTTCAAAGTTGGCCGAGTTTTGAGCTTGAAGACAGGTATGATCGTGTGATTTTTAGGCCTTAAAACTAGCCTATCGTGATTCTACTAGTCCTAAGCTTCATTTTGGTTCAAAAATCATGAAAATTGGTTGAAAAATGAAGGAGAAAACTAAGTTTGAAATTTTCCCAGTTTTCCGGCGCCGTCGCCGGCGCCGGAGTCTCACCGGAGAAGAAAGGAGAATATTCCGTTAAGTTTAACAGAATATTCCTAACGGCAGTGACGGCGTCAGTTAAGTTTAACGGAATATTCCGTCAGTTTAACGGAATATTCCTGACGGCGTCAGTTGACGCCGTCAGTGTGCATGGCACGTGGCCGCCCGTGGGGGGCGCGTAGGTCCGTGCCTATTCAGGCGCGTGGGGGCGCGTGCGGGGTCCAAAAATTATTTTAAAAATATGGGTGTGATCCTGAGGTTGTGTAGAGCACGTTGGTATATTCAATTGTCCATTTTGAGCAATGTATGAGAAGTTATTACGAGAAGTTGGTTATGTGCTTTTAAATTAACGTTTTCGTAGCTTTTTCGCGTATAGGTGATTCGTATTCCGAGGACGAGCATACACACTCGAGGCAGGGGGGCTACGACCCTTCCACTTATCAGTGAGTGGGCTTTTGGTTTTCCGTATATACCTATATACATATTAATTCCCAGAAATTTAGTATAAATGCTTATTTGTTATATGTCACTCCTTTTATATAATTGGTGGTTATGCATGATTAGTTGCATATACGTTATTTATATATTCAAATATGCATATGTCTATATATGCGTATTGGGTGCTGTGGATGCCCAGGTAAGTGCCAGGTAAAGGTTATTCATATTTACATTCAGTAGTAGTTTGAAATGCTTAGAGAGCTCATAATCTGCACCCCCGGTGTTAGTGCTCCAGCCCGTGGCCAGGGTACAGTCCTTCACGTGATGTTCACCCGCACCACACGCTCAGCTTGGATCCAAGTTAGGTGCATAGGCTTGTCATACAGACCACATTAGGCGGTTCCGACTCGTAGGTGACCCGCGATTATTCGCACAGTCTTCACGTGATCGTAGCACTATAGCGTATATATGATACACCCAGTCTTGTCGTACAAACCACGTTAGGTGGTTCCGACTCGTGTGCAGATTCAGTTATTGAGTTGAGATTGGAGCTCTATATGCAGCCGTACAGGTCACGTTAGGTGACTCCCGGCTGCCAGATTATATGTTATTGATGTGATTTACGCTTGAGCATTTACATTTGATTATGAGATTCCGTTGTGGCATATTCTCGAGCATGAATGGCATATTTTGGAGCATGATTGGCATATCTATACATACGTATATATGTTCATTTTCTGGGAAGTATACAGGTTTTACGGCGAGGGGTTAGAATGTATTTTGCTAAAGAGTTTTCAAAGAGCTTTGTTTTTTGCCCACTCACGCTTTTGTTTTTGCGCCCCTCCAGGTTCTAGTGGTCTAGCAGGTTCGGTGGTTTTTCCCAGAGGGCGTCCCGGCATTTCTGACAGACACTCACCATTGTAGGGTCACCTTCAGGTGTATATATGTCGCATCTTTCCTTTTTGACTGCTGTAGACTTGCTCTGAAATTGTGTCTCACATACGCTAGCACTTGTTTTAGTACTTTGTATGCTAGTTTTTAATTATTCGTACTTTTATATTACTATCTTAATAGCTTCCGCACGCGCACATGGCTACGTCACCTTCGTGTGACGGCCAGCACTCCCTGATCTCGGTCGGGGTGTGTCATTGTGTTCGGGAAAGTTGACTTAGTTGACCTAATTTTTAGGGATTTGAAATTTGAAAACTTTTATGAGTTATATTACCTTCACGGTTAGCAGTGTGTTAATCAACCTCCATTGTAGGCACAACCGCTTGTAGTAAATGGCCTCCCTCATCCCTCAAATCTTTGCCTACGCTTGCAATTTCCCCATTGGGATCATCCAAGCCTAGAGTGTCACATCCCGGCCCAGGGCGGATCACTTCCCGGCCCCGCTCTACCACCGTAGCACGATATTGTCCGCTTTGGGCTTACCATTCCCTCACGGTTTTGTTTTTGGGAACTCACGAGCAACTTCCCAGTGGGTCACCCATCATGGGATTGCTCTAGCCCCCTTCTCGCTTAACTTCGAAGTTCTTACGGAACCCGAAGCCAGTGAGCTTCCAAAAGGCCTCGTGCTAGGTAGGGATGAGAATATACATTTAAGGATCACTCCCCTGGACGATGTGGGATGCCACATAGAGCATAGTGTTCCCTAATGCCTACGTCTCAACAGTGCACATTGTGTTAAGTTGGGTGGTGGCGTACAAATGATGCTGAGTGTTTCTTGATGAATTGTACAATTTTTGTACATTATTTTCTTTGGGTACATTCTCTGTCAAGGTGCAAACACACACACAGTGGTTTTAGCATTGATTAGGGCAATATTTATGTGTGTATATGCTTTTCCTTGGGTAGTCTTTGTATTTTTTTAATTGTTTGTTGAGCCGAAAATAGTGGGTACATTCGTTTCCTTGTGTTTTAAATGTACCCATGAGTTTTTTCTCTCACCCCTTTTTATTTGGAAACATACATTGTTGTATTCATGCAGGAGTACATTTTTGTTGTTGTCAAGTTCATGGGTGCATGCATGCAATATGAATTTACTGGGGTACATTATTTCGCTAGACACTACTCGGTAAAATGTGCAAAACTTTGTGCACAATTGTTTGTTATGTAAATTGTTTTTAGTCTCAATCCTTGAGATTTTTACCATTTATAATCCGATAATTATGAGATTTTTAATTTCATAAATGGTGAGATTTGTTAAATACAATTTTAAGTTAAAAGAGAAAATAATTGAAATAAAATATATTAATGCTAATATGTTGACGTGTACAAAGTCAAAGGATTTTGATCGATCAAAATATAAAAATCAATAAAGTTTCTGTTAAAAAATATTGGTGACTAGAGACCGCATCCAAAGTATTCATTTTTTTAGTACAACAATATATTTTACACTAAAAAGAATGAGAGTTTGGTTAAGTCATACAATAAACACCTAAATTGATATCGAATTCGCCATCTGTAATATTTAAATCTATGATCTCTCACTTGAGCAAATCTGTGATTAAACCACAAAAAGTGTAATGTCTTCATTTCAACGACAACGTTTCAAGCAGTTTAAGTTTTTCGTATCTTCACACCAACGACGCCTCCCACTTCGCTCTCTGGTGCCATTGCACTTGTTTGCCCCGGTCTCAGCTGAACTCATACCAAAATGGTGTTGTTGATGACAATGCTAAGAAGCAGCAGAGGGAACGCCTCCATCTTTGGCACGAGGAGGTGGGCCCACATCGCTGCCATGCCTCCACCGATGGGTGGAGCGATGCCTCAACCTAACATTTCACCGCCACCGTTAGTTCTGCCAGAGTCCGATAGGGACACAGAGGATAATAACAACATCGGGTTCGGGTTCCCGAGTTTCTTGTTCGGTGAATCCATGGAGCTCATGGCTGTTCCCAAGAGGAAGGTATATATGTCTGTGTACGTGGGGTTTTGGGGTTTTATGGGTTTTGGGGTTCTGGGTTTTGGAATTTATGTATCGGATCATTTGTTTAGATTAAAAATGAATTCTTTTTGTTTTCATTTGAAATTGGCAAATGGGTTTTCAATTCCATGTTATATTGTTTGCTCTGATGATTTTATTTGGCTTGTGTATGGTAGAATTGCTTGTTCTTTACTATTTTAGCTTGTTTTTTTTGTGAATTTTACTTTTAAATTCTGCTAATGAAAAGATATTTAGTGCTTATACCAGTAGAAATCCGATCTTAACGTTTTGATTCGTGGTAAGGAGGATTGTTTATATTTTATATTTCTTTCATACTGTGATTATCATTCTTGAAGGCAATCGTCCCCGGTTTGATTCATCGTCTTAATCTTTCATAGATGCTTTTTGTTTTCATGTTTTTTGTTGCTTGTTGAAGATTTAAAATCGAAGCTGGCATGTCATGCATACTATAACCTTGATGTTTCATTTGCTTTTTTTGTTGTCATTTTGTTATTGTAATGCACTTTTGGAAGATGCGGAGATTTGATATTTAAGGATGTATATCGTGCAGACTTCTCCCCACAAGAGAGGCATAAGAAATGGCCCAAAGGCTCTGAAACCTGTCCCAGTGATAGTTCGATGCAGGTAAGTGTTTTGTGACTTTTGTAAGCTTTTCATTTCAATGAGGATGTACTTCTGGAAATATTTCTACTGTACTATAATGAAATATAGTTGAATAGTTAGCTGGAGGTTTGAATTGCTATTGATAATTTGGTTGCGGATTATCGGAGAGAACTACAACAACAAACAACAACAAAGTCTTATCGCACTAAGTGAGGTTGGCTGTATAAATACTAGAATGCCACTCTACTCGGTTTTGCACCAAATTTTCCGTTAGCTCCAAGTACTCCATGTCTTTTCTTAAAGTCTCCTTCCAATTCTTCTTAGATCTTCCTTCACCTCTTTTGCCACGAGCCTCCTTCACCTCTTTTGCCACGAGCCTCTATCTAATAATTGCATTTTCTAACTAGAGCATGTATAAGTCTTCGGTTCACATGTTCAAAACACCTTAACCGATTTTCTCTCATTTAATCTTCAATTGCAGCCACTTCTACTTTAATTCGGATATCCTCATTCTTAATCATGTCCCTTCTCATGTGCCCACACATCTAACAAAATATTCTCGTCTCTGCTACACTCATTTTGTGCACCTGGTGACACTTGGCCAATATTTCATGCCATAAAGCTTGCTGGCCTTATTGCCGTCTTATAAAATTTTTCCTTGAGCTTTAGTGACATATACCATGCACACAACACACTCGATGCACTCTTCCATTTCATCCATCCATCTTGTATTGTATGGTTGAGATCCCATCCAATTTTCGTTTTTTCGCAAGATAGATCCGAGGTTGCGAAAGCATTCGCCTTTGGTACATCTTGATCTCCAATCCTCACACCTATCTCATTTGGACCCATCCGCGCTGAACTTGCACTCCATATACTATGTCTCTTTGACCTACTTAAGTGAAGACCTTTAGATTCCAACAGCTCCCGCCAAAGGTTAAGTTTCGTATTTACTCCCTCTTGCGCTCATCTATCAGCTCTATATCATCTGTGTAAAGCATACACTACGGATATCATCTTGAATATGCCTCGTTAAGTCATCCATTACCTTTGCAAAAAGGTAAGGACTTAAAAGTCGTGGTGTAATCCTATGATTTTGGGGAAACTTTCAGTTTGTCCTTCATGAGTTCTTACTGCAGTCCTTGCTCCATCATACATATCCTTTATTGTTTGGATATATGCTACTCAACTACTTTAATTATTAATGACCCTCTGTTGACCTGGTATAGAAAATGTCGGTATTGTTTGTGTGACTTCTTAGACATTTGAAGTTTATGGTTGATTTATAATCCATGTCTTGAGTCGATGAAATAATTTTTGTTTTGCCTGCAAACCGCATGGAAAATGATTTGACAAATTCGGGAAAAGCACGAAATGAACAAAGTTAGCTGTTTATGTTTTTATTGGAGATGCATTATAATGTTTAAGCTGTTCTTGTAAATTGTTAAGAAAAGATACAATATTGTTCGTCACAAAATATGAGAACTTGTAGGTTCTTATGTTTTTCGCTTCTTGTTCGGTAAACCCGGAACCTAATCTCTTGACAACCCAGTATGTAGTGTAGTTGTGTACGATTTTAGCTTATATTTGCAATGAAATTCAGCATATAGCAATAAAATAGTAACTTTGTCGTGTAATGTTTGGTTGCAGGGCTTGTGGTCGTGTCAAGCTACCACACTTCTATTGTTGTAGCGGTAGGGAAAATGCCGGTGAGCATGATGGCTCAACAAGTTGAGATTGAAGTCTATAGAGCACCCAACTTTAGTAGACGTGTAGGATAGAGAGGTTGAAAGTGTTTTAGACTTGAGAATCGATCTGCAGCTTTCTATGTCGAGTTTGTTCTTTCCTTACCCTTACCAGTATACAGTTTATATCAAATGCCTTCCTTCTCTTTCTGTTATTGTGCAAAAACTGAGAGATGTGGTAGGCCTTTAAGCAAAATAAACGAATTGGTGTTTGTTCACTGAATGAAAGGCAATTCTTCTCCTCAGGTGCTGTTCGTCCTTCTAACATTCACTGAACTTAATTACTACCGAATGAAAGTTGGTTGTAATCCATCCTTCGAACTTACGGGGCCTCAAAACATGAGGTCGTCTTCTGCATGGAAGACGTAAACGCTTCAGCTTCAAGAAACAGAAAACCATCTGGAAATTTCGGAGGCCATTTTCTTATAAAGCAAAGTAAATTAAGCAAAACATCCCGAACCAGATGAAGCTTACAAAAGTAATAACAAAACATCGCGAAAATAACAATGTCATAAGTTAACCATAACCAAAGAGAGAAGAGCATAACAAGATAGTAAGATACTATGATATGCTGAAAGTATCACATTCACAACTACAAATCTGGTAGGACGTTGAGAGAATGAATCCTACATTGATGAATCAAAGCCTTGCACGAGACTTCAAAATGATTTTTGTACCCCTCAACGCATTGTCTGCTCACATTCTTATACAAATGCATTCAACATACACAGGTCACCATGCTCAAAGTGCAAAACAACGCCCTTCATATCCAATTCACAAAAGCCATCTGCTGTTAACGGTCACCAGCAAATGCAGATAGACACCAGGTCGAATTTTCTCAAAGCCAACATCTTCCATTGGAAGCACAGAAAGAGCAACATCAATATCGGAAGAAATTTATAATTAAACTTGCAACAAATTGTTGATTAAGAGCACCAAAAGCAGAAGAATTTTGTCGCATACCGTCAAGTTCTAAAACCTCGCACAAAAACTTACCAATGCAAGAAAAAAGATTACAAAACCCTCTAATTTCTAACATCCAAAAAATTCGAGGAGGCAAGCCCTTATAGTTCCGTCACAAGTTCATCTCCGTATAGATGCAGCAGTTCGACAAGCAGGTATTAAATATTAGACAGCACAATTGACTGTTGACATTGCGTGGTAGAAGGATAAACTTCTGTATGTTAAGAAAGGTAAAATGGTTAACATCTGGTATCCGTATCCCCTACATCTCCTCCTAGCTCTGTCATCAGATCTTGCAACTTGTTCAAGACCACATTCAGTGCATTCAATTCTGTTCTTAGCTTAAATGGTTTAAGGCTAGCGGCTCAGAGACTCTTCTTCGTCTTTCATCCCAATATAGTTGAATAATTAAAATTACTCAAGCAAAAGGTTAAGAATATTAATCAAGAGAATGAAAAGAAACTCAAAGAGAACAAAATACAATCAAATATACTACATTTAAAAAAACACCATTTCCATTTGATATCATGAATTGAATTAGATGAAGCTGAGAGAAGAGGGTGTAATCTGAGCTAATTAGTTGATTTAGTGAATCTGCTCGATGCCTCGTGCTAATGATCTGGATTATTTTCAGTATGAATTTGATTAGAGATCCCACAGGATGCACGAGTTGGTTAATTAAAGTGGTCAAGTGAACCCGGAAGCTCATATTTATTTCTCAGTGACAATTTTGCACTCAGAATTTCTGAAATTAAATGGCATTACTTATATACCCTGTTTTTCTTTCTGATTATCCAATTAGGTCAATAAACACAAGAAGAAAAATAGTAACGTAGAAGGAACAATGTATCAAATTATTATTATAACCAAAAATTACAACTAGCTACTAAATAATCATCCCTCCCTAACAAATTTGGCAGGATTACATCCGCCAGCAACAAAACAGAGCAGAGATGACATTAATCGGAGAAGCTGATGATTATGATAAGGTTGCCTCCCTCATTGTCGTCCCCATCAAATCATCGGAAAATGGAAGATCATAGTCTTCAACATGGTTAGCAAAAAGCATTAAGAAGTGCAAGTTGATCATAAAGACCCAAAATACAAACACCATTTCCCTAACAACCTGAAATTACTAATATGAGAAGCAAGCTTCGATATTTCTTCATCACTCCCATCAAAACCTGCAGAAGCCCGGGTGACACACCCCGACCGAGATCAGGGCATGTTGGCCGTCACGTGGAAGTGACGTAACCATGCGCACAGTGCGGAAGCTAATAAATAATAATAAAAGTTTACGAGTAAATAAAAACCCAGCTATACACAAAGTAATAACAACATGTGCAAGCGTAAGTGTGAAAAACAAAGTTCAGAGCACGAAAGACCTAATGCAATCCGGGCGAAACAACACTAAATAAACACACCCAACGATGGTCCTACACTAGTGATAATTTGTCAGATAGGCCAGGAAAATCCTCTAGGGAGCCACCAAAAGTGCTAGCCGAACTAAAACCTGGAGCGGCGCAAAAAAAGAAAGCGTGAGTGGGCAAAAACAAAGCTTTTCGAAAACCATTTCATAAACAAAGTTCTAACCCCTCGCCGTAAAACCTGTATACTTCCCAGAAAAATAGAATATATACATATATATAAATCATGCTCAGAAATATGCCATGCCACATGCCTTGAAATAGAATGCAAGTAATCAGGTAATGCCAAACAATGCCATGCAATCAGTTAGCCAGAGTCACCTAACGTGACTTGTACGGCTAAATCTAGAGCTCAAATCCCCCACTGACTATACTTGCACACGAGTCGGAACCACCTAAAGTGGTCTGTACGACAGGATTGAGTGTAGATAAATATGCTCAAGTGCTACGATCATGTGAAGACTGGGCGAATAATCGTGGGTCACCTACGACACGGCACCACTTATAGTGGTATGTACGACAAGTCTGTGCACCTAACTTGGATCCAAAGTGAGCATGTGGTGCGAGAGGTGAACATCACGTGAAAGACTGTGCCCCTAACTCTGGGCGGGAGCACTAACACCGGGGTGCAGGTTATGAGCTCTCTATGCATCTCACATAACCACTAATTCATAATCACAAACCATAACTTACCTGGCACTTACCTGTGCGTCCGCAGCACCAAACATACATATATGCAACTACTAATGCATAAATAAATAGGCAAACGCTATGCATGGCATTTAAAACATATAAATATTCCATTTCATTTTCTTGGAAAAAGCCACAAGTATATAGGTATATACGGAAAACCAAAAGCCCACTCACTGGTATGTGGAAGGGTCGTAACCCCATTGTCTCGAGTGACTACGCTCATCCTCGGGATAGGTCTCACCTATATGCGAAACAACTATAAAAATGTTAATTTAAAGCACATAACCAAAACTAGGTAATAACTTCTCATAGAATGCTCAAATAGGGTGTGTGAATATACCAACGTGATCTACTCAACCTCACAAACATCCCCATATTTTAAAATAATTTTATGACATCACACGCGCCCCCACGCGCTGGCCAAGGCACGACTAGACTCGCCCCCCACACGCGGCCACATGCCAGGCACACTGACGGCGTCAGTTAACGCCGTCAGGAATATTCTGTTAAAACTAACAGATTCCGTTAAAGTTAACCTGACGCCATTAAGAATATTCCGTGAAATTGGTACCAAAATGAAATTCACAACAAGTAGAACAAAACCTTACCACTTTCAAGCCCTGAAATTCACAGAATCTCGCCGGAGAAACTTCACAAAATCCGCCCAAACCTGCAACTCACGATCCCGACGCCCAAATCCTTCCAACGAACCACCCCGAGCTTCCTAAGGACCTCACTAAGCTTCCTATAAGCTTCAAATCCCCTGAAAAATGACATTTCACATGTGCATGAACAGTGACCAAAATTGCGGTTCCCTGGTTCGACGTGAAAACGAATGATTCCTTACCTAAAATTGGTATGGTTGGACTCGTATGGTCCTCACGAACATAAAGGTATAATTTTCTACCTCGATCTGCAACGTTTTCGAAGGTTATGGTTCTTGTCCGTACGAAGGAAGAAGAAGTAGAGAGAGAGGGAGTCTTCAAGACAAGGAAGGTATACGGGAGAAGGTGATGGAGATGAGGATGAATTGTGTGGCCCAGATGCAATCAGCCAAACCCCCAAAACAACCACACAAAAGACAAATACCCACTAAGGGCAAAAACATCATTTCACATCTACGGTACAATAATTCGGGACGGGCTGTCACATTTATAACCCTAAATACTCACTAATATAAATTTATTAATTTGTACAGGAAATTTGGTGTTTACACAAATCAACACGATGTAGTGTATCACCCTAAATTTTGAGGGGATTACATCTTTCCTAAGTTAACAATGTACGTGTTGAGTGGTGAAGTATCAATACATACACAAAATGAGTGTAGCAAAGATGAGAATGTTTCGTTGGATGTGTGGGCACACGAGAAAAGACAAGATTAGGTATTAGGATATCCAAGGAAAATTAGGAATAGCCGAAATTGAAGACAAGATGAAAGAAAATCGGTTAAGGTGGTTTGAACATGTGAAACAAAGACCTACATATACTCTGGCTAAAAGATGCAAGTACGAGACAGAGGTCCAAGGCCAAAGGGGTAGAGGAAGGTCTATAAAAACTTAGAAAGAGACTCTAAGAAAAGATTTGTACTTCTTAGATCTAACATAAGACATGACATAAAACTGAGCGCAAGGACGTTCTATGATTCATATAACTAACCTAACTTAGTGAAATAAGATTATATTGTTGTTGTCCGTTCAAATCTATTTCTTTCTTTCAATTAGGATTGTATTATTTCCTATTCTTCGTTACCCTCGTATCTCGTTTTCCTAAATCGAAATCCCAACGACCTCTGTATCTTGTTTTTTTATAAATACTATATCCATCCTATAGAGAACGATCCTATTCAAAATGGGCCAAAGACACAAAGATAGTGAAAAATCCAAATCCAAATTGAAAAGGGAAGCCCAGAACTCCCAAAGGAAAGAGCTAACGGCTACAAAAATACCCACTTAATTCCCACTTCCCTACTGCCCTGCCTTTGCCTTGCCTTGTCTCCCCAAACCCTTCTTCTCTTCTCCCTCTCTCCAAGTCTCTTAATAATCCATCACAACTGAACATAACACAACACAACACAACAAAACCCTTCTCTCTACAGTAACCTCTCTCTCTCTCTTAACAGGTGATCTCTCTGTCTCTCTTTCTCTCTCTCTCTACCTCTCAATTTTATATAATTGATTTATTTATATGAAATGAGATTATTTGATTTCTTGATATTTCGGGCCTGTTGATGCTTTCATAAATTTTGCCTATTTTAGGGTACATTTTAATTATACTTTGTTAAATATTTTTAATAGAGTTTTGACTGCTGTTAAATTTTAATTTCAAAATAAGATTAGGGGCTGTAAGGATGCGGGTGTTTTCAGTTTCAAGGGTTATAGATGAGTGGGACCCTCAATCACCACAATAGTTAGGCTTCAAAAATCCCATCGGACGGTGGCGGAGGTTTCTTCAATTTTAAGCATTTTACTTGCATTTCGTAGATGATGTCACTAAAACTATGTCTTGGTTCCAAAAGAAAATCTTTTCGCTTAATTGAGCATCTTTAAGCAGAGAGATTTTCTTTTGAAACCAATGACATTTTTCTATGACATCATATGTCAATAGATTTTTATCGTTCATCTAATAGATATTTATCACATGACGTCTTTTGTTACGAGAGAGTTTCTTTCCATGAGAGTACACAAGCGAGGTTTGCCTAGCCACATATCCAATTTACTCCTGCAAGGGAATATGCAAAGGGGTAGGCAAAGTACACCTACTCTATCCAAGTATGCGGATCAGGATCCTCTCCTGATCTAAGGATCAGGATCCTCATGATCTAAGGATCAGGATCCTCATGATCAAGGAGTGTTTCATCCAACAGTTATAATTATTATAAATTTAAAGGGACCTCCCTGTTTATAATCGTTGGATGAAATCCAACGGTCCACACTCCTTGATCATGAGGATTCTCATCCTTAGATTAGGAGACTGATCCCAAGTATGCATCTTTGCCTACTTCAAAACCTATGGAATATTGGGCCCCACATAATATAGAATTATTTTGTCTATTTGGTTTGCCTAGTTTTATTGGAGTGACCAACATTTTCACGAGGCATAATGGTAGTCAACATTATAGTACAATTTTGCTTACCTTGTTTAGATATTCACACGAAGACGCATTAAGATATTGATATTAAGTTGTTGAGGTTAGACCAAGTGGTGAGCGAGAGTAAATGGGTTAGGATTATAATCGGTTGAATGATCAAGATGTAAGATATAAGATATTAATATTAACATTCTATGAATCTGAATTATTAATTTGTAGAATTGATTGAATTTGCAGTTTATATTCACAATTTGAATTATTGGTTATGTGGAATAGGAACTCTTACTGGTACACAAAAAAATAATCTTGGCCTTTTCTCTTGTATTTCTGTAAGGGAGAGTTTGAGCTTGGAGGAGTGCAAGATGATTTTTCTAGAGCGTTAATAACAGTACCCTTCAGAAGTTTTAGGCAATATTTGTTACTTAACTACATTTTTTTTCTTTTCCCTTGCCCTAAAATTCATCACTTATTCACATAGCAGTCTGCATTAGTGTACTGTAAAACAAGGCATTAGCGAGGAAGCAAGACACTAAGACATTTCTTGACCGGAAAGAAAAGCTTTCTCACAATTTCTTGCATTATTTTCTTGGAAAATTTTTCTTCGGAACGAGAAAGAAAATCAAGATGGAGAACAATCGGAGAGAAAACGCATTGGTGTACGTACTGAAACAATTACAAGGAGTCGAGCATTTCAAGGATGCTCAAGAGAAGTTACAAAGGAGCATATACGAGAGAGGGTTTTTTCTCTGCAGAAAAGTTCAGGAAAAACTTCGGAGTAATGACAAGTTCGTCGAATTCCTAAAGCAACTGCAATTGTATAGCAGTGGAGTTATAGATCTGACCGAGTTTTTGAATCTGGTCGATGATGTACTTCAAGCTGATGTAGAAACTTGTTAACTTGTTCTAGTTTTCGATTCGTCTTTGTATTAATGTATATGGCAGGCAGGAACTAATTTAGATTCGTTTTTAATGCGTTGATGTAGAATGTTAAATCTGAGTTAGTTAATGCACGTTAAATTAGATGATTAAAAGCATTTATCCTTGCATCTGGTGCCCATTGTTCGAATGCCCCCTCTCCTTATCGCTCGTATGAAAACGTAAGGGAAAACTTCAGTGAATTTTGGCAATGTTACTGGATAGCAACGCAACCTTTACTTGTTGCTCCTCTTTTCCAACTCCATTCTTTCGTTGTTTTCCAAATCTTAGGAGTATGACTTGATTTTCATTACGACAGACTTGATTTTCATTCCTCCCGTAATGAAAATCATTGGGGAACGCATAGTTACAATGGTAAAACATCGCGACAAGAAAACATTGAAAACATTTTGGAAGGAACACTACCCACCAGACCCCGACAAGGGGTTACCAATATACCGAAATTGGGAGAAATTCAGTAGACAAGTCTCATGATCTGCATTTTTCTATCGATATAAAAATCTGGATTGGTATAAATAAAAGGTGCTGCACTAAAAACTTGCACCAGGGTAAGAATACAATTACTTCATTTACAAAGTCAAATTAACTTACACCCAAAACTGGTACTGGAGATCTCACGTATCTATATAATCTACAGACTGAATTGTCCTTACAAGCTCCTTCAAATTGGCTAGGACATGACGCGGTCCTAAGCTCTTAACGCCAATGTAATTCAAAAGCTGCTCTAAATCCTACACTAACAAAAGCAATGCTACGGTCAATATAGCCAAGCGTGACAATTTTAATGGTTAAGATAGTACATGAAGCAAAGCAAAACAAAAAGAAGAAAGTACAGTACAGATTTAGGTGGGTTAGCAGAAGAAAGACAAGTACAGAAGGATGACGTTAGAACACTAATACTATATTAAGCGTTTGCACAAGTCTTAAAACTAGATCCACGTTAATTTTTTATAAATTTGAACTAGAATGTAAGAATTGATGAATAATTCACTTATTTAACTATATATGAAATGATTCTGTGTTTAATTATTCGGATCTATGGTGTTGTTTGAGTATATATCCAGGCATTAAGGTAATTTGTCAATTTGAGATTTGCCTATATAAATAGCCTTTCCGTAATCAGATTTCAGACTGGCATGTTGATCGATAATTATGGAGAATTTTGATTTAATAAAAAAGTCTACTTGTTCTAGTTATGCTCCTCTTCTCTCTAGGAATTGTTCTTAGCGCTCCAAAATTGTCATTGTTCACTTACCTTTATTTTTTCCAATACGGAGGAGCACAGGATAAGTATTTTGGACTGCTAACAACAACTCCATTCTCCCTCTCTTGTACTCTTTCTTCATCTCTTCTACTTTCTCTCTCTATTCTACATTAATTGGGTATCAGGGTAAACTTTGTTGTAAATAACTTAAGTTACCAAGGTTACCATTACCGAAAAGCCCATTCAAAAGGACAACTTTAGCGCACACAAATGCACAAATGTCAAACAAATGAAAAGATAATAACCACACACCAAATAATAGGAATTACTCTAATCTGAATAGGTGTTATGGACCCCAAGGCATAAGACATGAACAAATTTGTACCTTGTTGAGTAAGAATAGAGCATAAGCGGCTCTCGTTGTGTCTTGGCCATCTAGAAAAAGAGGGAACTCCACATGCTTCACATCCATTGAAACCACTGTATGTGACGACACATCAGATGAAGTAGGCTCTACGGATGGTCCATAATCAATAATATAGGAATGGGAACCACCCAAACGCAATGGATAACGCAATGGAACTTTTAAGTACGAAGCTATAAGTAAGACAGCCTGCATTCAAAATCAATATAAATAGGGCATTCTTATTTAAAACAACTGCAGCTAAACAAACAAAACAAATAGGCCCCTAAGTAATGCACTTGAAACTGACAGCATGTTAAAGTAGAAGCTGCCAAATTCATCATGTATGAATTAGTAACTTAATAGTTTGTATCAAGCAAAGAAAGCGTACTACGCACATGACTGACATATCCAAGGGCTGTTGCAGACCTCTGAACCTCCTTTTTGTCAGTGAAAAAACTCATCATTTTAAAAGGCAGCATTGTCAAATGGAGACCTAAAATTGTCAATGTTCCTTGATTTGCAGGTTTAAATCGAGCAGAATTACCTGTAAAATTTGAAGAAGAAACACAAGAAAAATATAATCTGAGTACAGAAGAATACATTACCAAAGGTTATTACCCTTGACATGAAGCACATAATGATTATTTCAAAATAAATTTTCTTCAAGAGAAAATAAAACTGGATATGGATATTTTGATACTGTAGCCAATTAAATCATTAAGAATATATATCTCTATCAAACAAATAGATAAAACATTGCCATAGTAAACAAATATGATGTATGTGAAAAGCTTCAAGAGCAAACATCCGCATTGTGGACAGCCCTATTGTTCGAAAGGTACTGCGTTTTTTAATTTTCATTAAAAGTTTTGTTTATGAGTTGAAACTTAGTTTATCTTTAAAGTGTACAACAGAGTTTAAGGGTTAGAGTTTGTTTAGTTCTAGGGTGTAGGGCATTAGCCCAAACTTAAAATCTTAAACCATGGATGGAAGGGGAAATAACATAAATATTGAATAGCACAGGACATTCCAGTGCTGACATCAGTTGAGAGGCAGCCTCAAGTTCTACTCACATACATGCACACACACACACACATAATCTACTTCTAAAACATGATCCTGCATTGGAGATTGTGCACCGTCGACCAGCAAGAGATCCTGAAATCCGAGCAAGGAAAAGCTCACAATCCCAATCAGCAACACCATAAAGAATTGCCCATATTTTGAATAGAGATCTAGGTCATGCATTGAGAACTCGAAGAAACAATTTTAATAACAATACATTTATACTCAGACAACATTGACAAGTTAAACAAGCACTTATACAATTTAGGCACAAGAGAAACAAAAATTAAATAAAAATTAATTCAAATGAAAGCCACATCTTATGACAGTTGGGATTAGCAAATGTTGCCATGATATCCAGAATTTCATGAATGTGGATAGATAACATAGGAAAGAGTTGTAGTGATTGCTTGAAACATTAGCCTTTCTTTTCCTTCATTTAGCCATATGGGTATTCACTGATTTTTACCTCAGTTACTCTCTTTCAGATTCCACAAATTAAACAAGATATTGTAAGACATAAAACAATATCTCAGTAGCATTTACCTGATCTACTAGTGTTAGGAAATGATTCAAGTTCCTGTTCTTGTGCAGGACCCATAGTGAACTTTACAGGATATAGCAATGAAACTTGTGATATCATATGTTGTTGTCGCCTTCTTAGCATCTTTTGCAAGTTTTTAAGATTAACATACCCCTTGTCACAGGATAGTAGCTGATTTGACTCCTGTAACAAAAGCATAAATCAGATTTTCCACCAGACTGCATAAATCAATTACTAAAATGTAACAGTAACCTTTAAACATGAAAAAGTGCATTGAGAAGAAAAGTTATTGATTTTGCAGAAAAGTATAGCAAGCCAAATTTGGATTTTGTGGAAATGATCATAAAGCAAAAATAACATTAAAAGTGATAAAAAGAATCAGCCATGAAATGAAGCATATGCATGTATATACACAACTACAACTAGTTTTTGAATTCAAAAGTGACCCAATCTAAGTAATTAACAGTGCTTCCTAGTCATATATATATATTATTTACTAATGGTAAAACTTAAATTAGTCGCAATGAGATTTTGAAAGAGAATATGCAATAGCAAAAAGTTATTGTTTTCCAATACACGTCACAACCCAAAAATGTCTAGAGTTTATAATTCTTTTTTTTTTAGAAGAAACGATAACACTTTAACAAAATAATAACATGAATTACAAAATAGTGGATAAGAAATCCACCATCTAGCAAAACTAGCTACGACCTCTCAAATAGATATATTTACAAGTACATAACCTCCACCAAAATCATTTTACTGCTGCTAAGACCTCTCAAGTTTATAATTCATAAGTATACAAACTCTCAATGACAGTTTGGTACATAATAATCATAATCAATTTTACCTCCAACCGCTTCCTAGCAACAGATAGAGCTGTCCCAGCAACCAAAAGTGACCTAAGCTCTATACTAAGTTGCTCCTCTTTCTTTTTTGTATCCTCCACAGCAAACATAGAATACCTTGACATGTTTCCCATCACCATTTTTCTGGCCTCCAGTTTCTGCTGCATCTCCTCAAGCTCATTTGATCGTCTCAATGACTCAGCTTCAACCTGTCAACAACAATGCCGCCCGCTAACCCGCGGGCTAATCAATTAAGGCCCGATCAATCAAGTAACAACACAATGTGCTAGTGACGAGTCTGATGACTTTGTGCAAAATCAGAAAACAATTTCAATTAGTCCTCAATTTTCGTTTCTTACATCCACTCCGCAATCAAGGACAGAAATATTCTTTTATAGAATTAAATTACAACGTCCACAATTTCTACTTTCAGATCCTAATACCAGCAGTTTGGCTGAAACAAGATAAAATTATCAATAATATAATATAAAAATCGCCTTCTCATACTAACACCGGAACAGTTCTAACCAATTCCCCAAGTCTGTTAATCCAGCAATCATAAAAACCCAGTTATATCCAAATAACCAAGTAAAGAACTATTTAAACTTCAATTTCAAACTCCACAATAAATAAAATAAAACCTCCATAACCCTAATAAACTGCATTTTCTCAGAACATCAAAAGCACGAAAGTTGAGCATGCACTAGAACCCTACCTCAATGAGAGACTCGAGATTCCGCTGAATACTTTGCTTCTTGTCCTGAGCTTCGCTGAGAGCAGAAGAAAGACTCCATAACCTCACAATCTCTTGCTCGAATTCCTCCCATTCGATCACCTTCACATTTTCGAGATCGCTCTTCTTCGGCTCTGCAGGCTGGGCTCGATCTCGTTCCATTAAAAGTTGGAGAGATAGTTTCGATGCGGCTTGAATTTCAGACAAGGCCAGGGGATAGACTTCATCGTCCCAGAATCACCAATTAGGGTTCAGGACACATTTTCTCGGGAAAATGTTTTGGGGGTTTTTTTTTTTCTCGGGAAAATTTGTGTTTTTTATGGGTCGAATCGAGAAAATTTTGATTGGGATTCTTTGACCAGTTTGAAAGAAGGGTTCGATAAGCAAAGAATGACAAGTGGAAGAGAGACTGGAAGTTGGCGACGATTTGAGTGTCATTTTAAGCGGACCAAGCACATTGCTTTCAAAAAAAAAAAAAAAAAATGCAGATCGCTGTGCTAGTAAAGTGCAGTAGAGAAACTACCCTTCATGCACAACTAATTTAATCACATTATTATTAGCATGCTAAAGATATTTTTTATAACCGACATTACACACCTTTTAAGATGTTTTATAACACTAAAATCACTATTCACAATATCTGATTGAATCACATTATTGCTAGCCTATTATAAGGTACTAATTTTTTTTTTTCAAAAAAAACTTTACTAATTTATCAACGGCACTACGCGTCTCTTAAGATGTTTTGAACACAATATTCATGATTTTTTTTATTTTTTATTATATTTTTTATTCCCCTTTACGTGGATACCATCAACTTTTACTCATCCTTCCATTTTTTTATCGTTCAATATTATATTTTATGATGACCAAATTACCCCTGTATTATTTGATATATTATAATGGGCTGGTTTTGGAATTTTTTGGTTGAGGGGCAATTTTTTCCTAATATTTTTGTTGAAGTCGTGACACCAAAACTGGCCTCCAACTTTATATATCGATTTTCATACGTTGGTTGCTGAAATAGAAAGAGAGATATGAATGATAAAGGCTGCTTGATTGTGGCCATGAGCAGGACTAAATTTTTTATAATGTTTTTAGGCTCGAAAATGGTGGATAACTGTGGCTTGCCACTAGTTGTCCCCCTTTAGTTAAAAAAAAAATGAATGATAAGGGTGAAATGAGGAAAATGTCAAAAGTGCTAATGTATAGATGTAATATTGAGGTAGTGTGGATATTGTTGTTACGATGTTCGTGTAGTATTAAGATAATGTACATAATGTTGTAGTCGATTATGTATAGGATACTGAAATATCTTTTAGATAGTTTCCTAGTTGTAATTGTATTACTTGGAGAGCAAGTTTTCTCTCTCCCATATTAGTATAAATAAAGACACAAAGCATGAGAAATAATGTGTAGCAAAAATCCTCCGTATTCAATCTTGACGAATTTGTACCTACAAAACAAATAAACACATTTGATCAACGGCCAACGCCACATGTGCCCATGATGTGGGGGGTTTGGTCAATGGATATCTAATGTCTGAGTCAATTTCTCTAAAAAGAGAGAGTTTAGGGATCAATTGTGTAGCCAAAGCTTACCAGAAATTAGTGAAGATGAGATATATATATAGGAGCTAGACCGCCTACATATGTGGGTTTTGCCTAGACATGTGTCGGCATTCGATTGGCCAAGTTAAGTCATCTGTAGGATCGATGGGGAAATAATTATCTCAAAAATATTATTTAATAAACAATATCTTAGGATTATGTTGTAGTATCTATGATTGTGATTGCTTGCTCAATTGAGTTGGTCTCCATTTAGGAGAGTAATAAATATAAGATTTTTTTTTTTTTTTTGAAAACATAAATATAAGTTTTAGTAATTAGTCATACCTTTAATACTTTTGACTTTTCTCCTTGCCACGGGCAGAAGAGCTTGATGAGGTTGTGACATTTGCTCAAGTCTTAAGGGATGTTGTATTGTGCGTGGATTAAATGTGGCCTTGCCAATTTAATAAGGGTATTCTTGTCTTCTTCGGATCAAAGTCTACATGTTAGTTCCATGATTTTTTGCTCCACAAATGTCCTCACACGGGCTATATTGCGCCCAGGAAAGGGCAGATGGTGTAGAAATCCCAAGTGGAGTGGATAAGCCAGAAGTTGTTTATTGATTTTCCTTAGATTATAAGATTTGACTTGAAGTTTAAGTCTTCTAGGGAAGGAAAACCAACCGCCTCTAAAACTTATTTAAGTCTACCTTAAGTAGAGGGTTAAAGAAATTCAGACAACAATTACTCCTAACAAGAAAGAGAGAAAACTAGGGAAATTGCAGCCCCTCTGTGGAGCAAAAAATAATCAAAAGGCGACACGTGAATTTTTGGACAAAAAGGACAAAATTACCCTTGAGGAGCACCGGAATTCCTATGCGTGAGCAGTGGACAAACATTCCACAATCAAGTCAAAAGTGTCCAAATTGGTATTTATTTTTAAACCTATTGCATCCATCCTTATCAAATCTTCTGTACAAGGTAACCCACAAAACATTTCTTTTAAATTATGTTAATTGGCTAATTAATGCATTTATTACCTAATTAATCTATTAATAGCCAATTAAACCACCAATTACACCCAAAAAATACACAAAAGGTCGGTCACCTTCTCTCCCAAAGGGACCGGCAATGCACTATATATTCAATCTCATTTCCTCTAAAAACCTAGGTCTTGACTCTTGCTAAACCCTCAAAAATTGCCCAAACACTTTTCTCTCAAAATTCTAACCTTGGCATCGGAGGTTTTTCGGCCAAAGCCCCCCCATTCATCGTGGACGCATGAGGCTCTTGGCCTTGACCGTAGGTATTATTTATTTTGTAGGTGCAATTTTGTCCAAGATTAAGGAGGAAGAAATTTGCATCCACAAATTGGTGCTTTCATTGAGAGTTGAGTCACACACTCGCAGAAGACTCTCGCATCCAAGGTTTTCTATTTTCTTGTCCATTTGTAGATTTTTCGTACGTTCTTATTTTTAAAAAAATTTTATTTGCAAAATTTCTTTGATAAAACGTAAAAGAGAAGTACAATGGCTAAAAATTTAGAAAATTCAACAAGTGAAAATTCCAATATTCAAGAGATGGGACCGCGGCAATCCACAAGGTTAAATGTGACAATAAGTGGAGTGGAACCACCCCCATGAGTTTCCACCACGGGAACCACTGTGATGGCCACCATGGTAGCCACCCGCGGCAAGGTCCATGGTGTAACGCCCCTGCCCCAAAAATTTTTATATTCGGGGAATATTATTGGTGATAGGCCCAAACTAAATACTAGTTTAGTTATGTACGATTAATCCCGATTAAGCACTTTAAATTTATAACCCTCACATTCAATTTATAACCAACATTTAATTATCAAAGCATAAGGATAAAACTCAAGTTATTAACCAAATTGCCTTCTCTTAGCATAAGGATAAAACTCAAGTTATTAACCAAGTGCACTACTTATATTCTCACTTTTTCTCCACTTTTCTTAATAGATCAACTTCCATTCTAATTATTTATTCTCCAAGTATTTAAGGCTGCATCTAACACTGTTAGACTGCCTACGTACCCTTGAGCGGGATCAAGTCTTTCGTAGTTCACAATTCATTATTTTACCAATTTCCAAACTTAATCTAGTAACCACCATATTCAACATTAACCTTCACAATTCAATTCATATCAAATGGTTACCAATTATAGATTCAGAGTATCAAAATTTATATGAAAAAAATGGCAACGTCGGTTCCCTGACCATGCGCCGCCGTACCTGCCGCCGTACTTGCCGCCGCCAGTGGTGGTCGACCGCCCGACTTGCCGAAAAATTTCAACTATATCCAAAAATTCCCAAATTTTACAGAAACGTAGACTTTCATACCTGCGACCAAGGCCAATTTTACTTGGAAAAGCCTTAATTTAACATGAACCCGTTGGAACCCAAGGATTTGGGTGATCTCGATCCTCTACCTCCGGTGCTCCGATGCCCCAACAAATGGTTGGGCTTTGTTCCTAAGATTGAGGGAAGGGTAATGGGGGGTGGTAATTGCATGGCATTGTTTCAGGTTTAGTGGATTTCCACCCAAACCCGCCGCACTCACGCGGTATAAACCTCTAAAATTCAAACCTTATTTTGATGTTTTAGGGTGAAAATGGAACAGGGATCAGTTGGCCTCGAAAGGAGGGTCATTTTGACACCTTTGCCATCGTCAAAGGTGGCCGAAAACTCAAAGTGTGGCCGGGTCGGGTCACGGGTCAGAGGGCATCCGTTTCCCCCTCCTCCTTTCTTCTCTCCTTTCCTTCTGTTTTCCCCCTGATTCGTTTGTGTCCCTCCCTTTTCTCCCTTTTCTTTTCCATCACAGCCATCCATTCTTTATTCATTTTCATCTCAGCCACACACATGGCAAAGCTTTTGTTCCAGAAAATCTGGATTCTTCTAAATGAGGACATAATTATAAAAATGTCCCTAACTTTAAACGTTAATAACTCTTGCGTTATAACTCCATTTTACGAACGGTTTGCGGCTACGCGTTCGTGAGATCGAGCTCTATTCAAATATAAAAATTGTGACCTCGAATGGTCTACGGATTTTAAATAATTAACTTACCAACTCCAAACTTCGTAACCAGTTTAATTTAAAACTGATCTCAAATAAATTAATATAATTTCTTGAAAAGTAACATGAAATCTCAATAATACAATTACGTGAATTATAATAATTTTCCAATTCCATCTTCATAACCGTAAATCGATTTATTTTTTATTTTCTCCACGTATTCATAATTATGAATATCCAATTCATATATTTAAATTTTCCAGGGTATTACATTCACCCTCCGTTAGAATAAATCTCGTCCCCGAGATTTCAACCATCAAATAACAAAAAATGGATTTAAAACTAATTCTACCGTTCCATTTGTATGGAATGAAATCATAATGATTCACACCATATACACATATTCTTAATAACATTCACTAGCAGGACAAAATATCCAAAATTTTAGCCATGCTCATTGGCAAATTAAACATCAAGCTTACGCCGCCACCCAATATTGGCTAAATAAATCTTAGATTATTGAACAAAATCTACTGTTGGCTAAATAATTACTAACATAATAATCATAATCACCTGTAAATCACTCACCATCATTGACTATACTCAGCCGTTACTACGATTTTTTCTTCCAAACTTTTAATCACACACACCAACGATACTAGCATTAGAAATTTTCATTATGAGCAAAAACCAATATCATAAATGCCAGCCATAATTTTTGTTGGCTGGATAAATACCGGAATATCAATCTCATCAACCATCGGCTAGATAGATACTAGCATAATGACCACAATACAATAAATTTCAGCCAATTTACACATCAAAATTTCAAGCCAAAATTATTAGTGGTTATGTAA